AACTCATAAACATAACACCTCGCATATATCCGATACCACAAATGTGTATCACAGAGAAAACTAATATACGATGCCATTTTCTGTGAAAAATTCATTAAGTATATATCAAAAAAACAAGTGATGTTTTTTATACCCTTCACCACACTGTGGTACAGGGTATTATGTCTTTGTGCATATGTTTGTAACAGGCAAAAATAATCGAGATAGACCCATGGTTCCTTTTAAGAATATGCATAGAATCACTTTTTGTGTCGATTTATGCATGTCTTCCATCGATGTTAAATTGTAAAGAAAGTACAGGTCGCATTTATGATCCGAATTGGATGAAATTTATTCGGCCCAAGGACGAGCCCTATTGAAATTGGGAAAAATCGGTTCAGATTTAGATATAGCTCCCATATATATATATTTATCCGATTTAATATAAACGGTCCCTATATATCTTTCGATTTGCACGAAATTTGGTACAGCCTAATCATTTAGGTCTAGAATGATTCCTGCCAAGTTTCATAAAAATCGGTCCAGACTTAGATATAGCTCCCATATATAGTTTCGTCCGATTTCATGTAAATGGTGCCCCAAAGTCCCTATATATCTTTTGATTTGCACGAATTTTGGCATAACGTACTGAATTAAGCCTAGAGAGATGTCTGCCAAGTTTCGAAAAAATCGGTCCAGATTTAGATATAGCTCCCATATATAGTTTCGTCGGATTTCATGTAAATGGTGCCCCAAAGTCCCTATATACCTTTCGATTTGCACGAAATTTGGCATAACGTACTGAATTGAGCCTAGAATGTCTTTGTGCATATGTTTGTATCTTCTTTTGCACGAAATTTGGTACAGCCTAATCATTTAGGTCTAGAATGATGTCTGCCAAGTTTCGTGAAAATCGGTCCAGATTTAGATATATATAGCTCCCTTTTATTATAGATTGATTTTAAGTAATTGACGCACCAAGGAACCAATAGGAACGAAACGTTCTAAAATTAGCATAACCTAACCTGTGACAAGTTTGCTTGAAATCGTATAATATTTGGATAGACCTTCCATATATATTTTCGCCCCATTTCAAGTAAATTGGGCATCAAACTCCTCAGGTTAGTCAGATTGACATCAAAGTTTGCACATCGTACAAAATTGAGCATAAAATTATTTAGTTGCGTTTTCTAGAAGTACAGACATAGCCCAACGGATGACCTGTTTATATTTGTTTGAAGTCGATGTACATACTTTATGGATAGATCTAGGTAGATTCACATTTAGATAAATATCACATATTTTATTTCATCCAATTTCATGCTAATAGTCCTGTTTAATATACCCATAGTGAAGGGTATCATATAGTCGGCCCCGTCCGACTTTACTACTTTCCTCACTGGTTTCGTATTGAACCTGTGACTATAAAATTGCAAATACCTTAATATATCAAATAAACTTAAACTTAAATCTAACTTTTCATATCTTCTAATATGTAGATTCCTTAAATCGGTCGGGACATTTATATGGGAACAATGTTACAACACTATGTGATAGTAGGTTGCCCATGCTCTTTAAAAATAATGTACAGACACTCAGGTTGGAAAAAGGGTTAAGAACTTCAAATATGTATGGCGCCTTTTTAATACCATAGACCAACTCTATGAAAAAATTTGGACCAAATAAAACATTACTACCACTTTGGTTGACACACTGGAATCAACTCCCCAAAATACCGAATATTTTGGGTACCGTTATATGGGAGCTACCTCAAAGAGTGGACCAATATAGATACATTTAGTACGATTCATTCTACCAAATAAAACAACCAAATACCAAATTACTGCCGATTAGATTTAAAAATTATATGAGGGATATTTGGAAGCTTGGGCGAATAAAAAAATTCAGCCAAATACCGAATATTAAGGGATATATATGGGAGCTATCCGAATACATGGTTCAATATTGATATTATTAATTAGGAAGATTTTCTGCTCAATAAGTATAGCTAATATAAAATTAGAAGCAATTATGTTGAATATTGGGGGTACTGTTATATGGAGGCTACCCTTAAAAGGGAACCAAATGTTAAATTTTCAATATCAACTATCATATAAGTAGAACGCCGAAAATTATACATCAACAATATTGCTAGGCAAGACATCGTTTGCCGGGCCCGCTAGTATATATATATATATAGCATTATACATTCATGCGTCTTTTTGTAATTTTTTCTATCATTTTAGTACTGAACATAATTAAATCTATTTATTACAATTTTAGACATGTTGCTTTTTGTTCTGATCCGCGGACCATTAAAAAAACAGCAAATTTTTCTTTTCTAAATAGTCAAATAATATATGAATATTCTTACAACTTGTATTTATTTTTAAATTAAAATAATGCGTATTAGTTATTCAAAAAAAAAAAAATAATAATAATAATAGCTGACCCGGCAAACGTTGTTTTGCCTTATCAATATTGCATCAATATAAGGTTATTATTATGTCAATAAAAAGTATTAACTGGTACCCCTATGCAGGCCCAAGCACATAACAGTTTATAATTTGGTAGAATATATTTCACCAAATGTTTTAATAGAAGATCATGTTTTGTTATTGCTCCAACGTTTTAACATTCCCTTATTTGTCCCTTCTTGAAGGATTCTTAATTATAATATGATTTTGTTCATGTCCAACTGTCATTTTGATTCTTATATTGGAAATTTTAGATTTGGTATAGAAATTTAGTGGTTTCCACTCAGTTATAGGTATATTTCATTTTTAAACAAATTGTTAAATAAGAGTTTGGCCAATGTTGACGCCGTATACCTTCTTTTAGTTGTAAATGCCTTTTTTATATCTTAACTCTAAATCGTGAAATTTTGTAATCGGATTAGTTACATCCTCACATATTTTAACCACTTGATTTTAATTTAACATTTGAATAAATTGTTGTTTAAGGCTACATAGGTCCATATCCATATTTCAAGTTGTCGGCCAAAAAAAGAAACATTGTCAAAAAATATGAAAATGAGATTTTCTCGATACAAAAATTGGGGGATTGTAAATATTACCTTATATATTTGTTTTGGCGGAATCTCACAATTAGATTACATATTTTCCCATTCTGACCACATACGATTTATAAGTCCTTTGAATCGTCAAAATCGGTGTAGACGTTCTTGAGTTACAAACGATGCAACTAACACAACGTTCAATTATTCCAATTTCGCGACTTTTTGATGTTTTTCTTCGTAAAAAAACTTCGTAAAAACTTTCCAATGCAATTACAAACAGCCGAAGGACAACGTGAGTGAAATCGGTACAGTCGATACACCATTTAAACATTTTTCACATCTTTAAAAATACATATAAGTTTGACACAAACAGTATGTAATGCGGAATTGCCTCCACGTATGATTCGCATTTAAATGTATTCTTCCCGAATATAAGAAAATGTTCAATAATACCTTCGTATTTTGTTGACGTATTTTTAATCGTATATAGCGAATTACTAACATCATTGAACTGTATTGAATACTTTGAAAGACGTTTTCGTTTTTACTAAAACATAAAAACATATGTCTATGTATTGGCAATTTTCTCAAAAATATTCCTGATGTTGTTTCCTATTAAAGACACGATCAAGATTCGGTCAGCGGTTCAGATATCACATGGGATATGTGTTGTATTTATAAGTTCAAAAAAATGTGTTCCACTGTTGTGCGCTTTTAAGCATCCTTATCCTAAAGTACTTGGAAAGTAGAAACAAAATATATATTTAATTGCCTTTAACTCGGTATTCCCTATAAGGTAAGAAACTTCCCTCATAATTGCCGGTATAGTTTCTAGTATAGGCTCCACATAATGGAACCGCTTAATCTTTACTTTACCATGTATAACTGTACTTACTGAGAAATTTTTCACAACCTATACATACCATGAAAATTTCTTCACATAATATAACTCTTGATTTTATGGAAAACGTGAACAAATAATGATAGCTATTAATCTTACTCTCTCTTTTCGATTTCTTATTATTAAATTTAACTCTAACGAAAATATATGTAAATTTATTTTCATATACAATAGTTTTCAAGGCAATGACAATCCAATTAATTGTAGAAAATCAACATATTTTGAGAATTTTCCATAATTGACAATTACTTAAAGATATACGCTGCCCATTTTCGCCCAAAATACGTCCAAAAAGAACTACGAAGAGATGAAACATAACGGTTCGATACCAAATGTGTGGAAATGCTAATATCTTTCAAAATATATTTTGCAACATTTTCGCGGATTTTTCTCAAAATGTTCTTTCATAAAAACCTTTCTACGTCAGTTACAGACTACTAACAGATACTTTAAGTCAAATCGGTCCAACCGTTTCTTTAAAATAATTTTTGCAAGATTTTGAATATAAGATGGCAGTAACTTGAAAGTAACCGTACATCACTCACTCATACATACATATACCCATAAGAGGAATAAACAAATAAAAGCCAACATGACGTATCATAGATTTAACCCATTTGTAAAATAGCTGATGGCACTGTTCAGAGTCATTCAAGCAGAAAATTGTATTGATTGCAACCAAGGGTAATGTGTTTTCAAAACATTCCTATTTTCTGAGCTGACCGACTGGCTTTAATTTTTTATTTCGTTTTTTTTTTTTTGTGCTTTTCATTCTTGAATAAAACGTGCATGCAGAACGTATATTTGTCATTGTAACTTTCTACGTGAATATGCCACGAGGCTGATACTTTGGTATGATGCTTTCGGTTTTCCATCTCACGTAATGAGCACTTAATCGTGTGGGGGTCTCTTATTATGTGTGTCCGGGAAATATTGCCTTCATTGGTCGTCGTTAATTGTCGTTTGATTGTAAATCAAACCTTATGTTTAAGTCAACAGTTTTGTTTTGCTAACACCAGGAACCAATGTACATATTTGTTCTCTTGATTACGCTTGCCGCCTACATTTATGTGTTTTTCGTGTTGTTGTCCTTCCAGAAAACCAGGAGCAATTTTATCTTTATTTAATCATATCTGTCGCTGCCGGCATGCTGCTTTGCCTGACACTTGTAATTGGCCGTTTGACCCTGCAGCGAAGGCGTTCGTGCCGCAAAAGTAGTCTTTCTAGCAGCACCAACAATGAAAAGAATCTCAGTGATAAAATGGGCAACAGCGGCGGCGGAGGAGGCGGTGGTGGCGATAACGCAAAATACCAGCACGAAACCACACGTGAGACGCAACTGAATAGCTCTTTCGGCGACGATATCTCCGACATAGATGCCGACATTGATTTAACCAGCCCGATGCCAGCACCCAACATCTCCAATAGAAATGAGGTAAGTACCATTTCTGATTATATGGCTCATTAGCATGTCTCACGGGCAATTCAGACTTCCACTCGAACGGGTGGGTTTGGAATGGCCTTACCAGTTATTAATCACATTGTTGTCCGTGCCTGTGCTCATTTACTTTTATTACCATTATTTACTCCTCAAGTCGTACATGACATATGCTCCCATCCCGAATTGTGCATACGCCTCTTTGGGTGACCACTCATCGACAAATTATGGAACGGCTACCACAATGCTGATGCCTTCGACATCTCAGCACAATAGCTTAATGATGCCCGGGGGACATGGCGGCAGCAGTGGCATTGGCAAGTCATCGGGTTGTCCAACAGTGCTAGGCAGCAGACAAACAACGCCTCCACCACCGTCTTCAGCAGCACTATACACCAGCATGGGTGTGTGTTCGCCATCCGTAAGTGGGACTATGGCAATGGGTAAGTACTTTGCTACAATAAATAAAAATGTACGCACACACTGTCACATATATGACAGTAAAGTACTTATTAATAACGAGTGACAACAACAGCATAAACTGATTAAATTAATTTATATTGTTGTATTACAAATTTGCATAAATCCAACGACGGTACAGTGGTCGGAATTGATTAAAGTATCAATAATGTCACATTTATTTATTTAATATTTCATAATTCCCTTAAGTATACTTGTATGTTATAAAATATGAAAAGTAAAATGTGATAGATGAATAGTTACTGAGGATATATTTTCAATTACATTCGGTATTGATTACAGCATGTCCGTTCATGTATTTTTGTAAGTAAGAGGTTGCATTTATTGTCCAATGGCAATAAATTGGCGAAAACTCGGATTAAATTTCGATATACCTTCCGTATCTAATTTTTTACGATTTTATGTAAATAAAATGACTAACATGCTACGACTGTCTTTAATAAATTTCAGTATAAAAAAACATGTGTCAAGTCCAAATTGGTTCAAATATATATTTGGACTCATTCCGTAATGATTTCGTCTTTCAATAAGATTAGTTTTGTAAAAGATTGAAGCCTTTTACGATTTTCCCTTTTATACATTTTTGAAATGTTTACCACTTTTTGAGTACGGGAACAGCACTATCTGTTTATAAATGCACGATATTTATAATAGCACACACATGCGTGTATGTATGTAATACATTCACAACACAAACATAAATGTTTGAATATATCAACAAGTGAATTTCATTAACAGTTGGCCATCGAAATGGTTAATGAAACGGATAATAAATGCGATGTTGCCATTGTAAGCAACTGAAGTGTTATGTAATTATAAACAAACCTTGTACATTTCACAAATAAGTGTGAAATTATATGTCGCATACACACAGTGGGGTTCTATAAGGAAATCATAGTATTGTAATTAATATGTGGCATACTTTAGTCAATGGCACTTTGTTTATTTATGACAATATATTGCGCGCGTTATTCGTTAGTATCAAATATTTTTCGATTTGATACTGAATTATTAGCAAACCTCCCGACAACTTTGATATTAAATTGTCGTTGGAGCTAACATAGGTCCACATTTTTGTATGACCACTGTTCATATAGGTAACTTTTCGGTGAACATCAAATATATTGTTCAGAACATTTTTAACGTTAATTGGAAAAATTATATTTTCTGCAATATTAATGTTTGGCAAGATGCACTAAGAATAATCATCTCCGGTAGAAAAATAGTAGTGAGGCATAGTTTGAGGTTTTGTAAAATGGGACCGCTGTTTTAGCGTTGGTTTGCACAGAACCTATATATTTTATTAATGTGGAAATTATGTAAAATGCGTAAATTATAATGTAATACTGACAATACCTATTCATAATTTCAATGACAATACTTTACAAAGTTTACAAATTTTTCTGCAAATATATGAAAATGAACATTAAAATTTTCAATAGATTGGGTTTTTTGGAAGAAGGGACTAATCCGTAAATGTCTGAAGGGATTATTAAGATTTAAAATTTGTATGATTTTTCCAGCGGCTGGCAAATTGACGTGTGTATTACATTGAATACTACTAAATTTGTAAATTTGAAAGTGGCTATATCGTCCAGAGTTATTGAGATTTTCATTTGAAATTTTTAAAGAGACATTCCTAAAATTTTTTAGGTTCGAATTAAATAGAAAACCAAAATTCAATCCCTCTATCAATCATGTGAACATTTTCATTGCTACAAAGTACGTACTGGAAGATAAAAAAATCTTCCGGAAATAAGAATTATTGATCTGGTCTATTCTTAAATCATAATATCGCTTCGCATGAGGATGTAAAAACAGAAATAATTTCCTGAATATAACGTTTTTTGAAAGTGAGATGTGAGGAAGTCATTATACCCTACACAACTATGTTGTCTGGGTATTATAGCTTTGTGCAATATTGGTCCTAGACCCACCTTTAAGTATACCGATCGTCATATCTCGACTAGCTGAGTCGATCTAGACATGTGTGTCCGTTCGACCGTCCGTCTGTCCATTATAATTTGTAAACACGATACAGGCCACAGTTGTGGACCAATCTTCACGAAATTTTGCATGTAGGATGGGTTCTGGTCAATGAAGACCCCTATTGTTATTATTTAGGGATGAAATGGACCAAAAACTTTATTTTTGTCGGTTTTTCTGGGCGCTCCAGAGGCTGCAATTATGGCCCAAACACCGTGAATTTTTGCAAGGAGAAGGGGATCGGGCAAAAGAATAAGCATACCTGTTTTGATAAAGTTCAAGCAATATTTAGCGGGTCAAGTGGACCTTAACTTTTGTGTGAAAAATGACAAAATTTGTATTCTGTAACGTATATATTTACCACTGAAGGACATAGACCCGAGAAGTTGATAGTATATCCAAGAGGAATGGTTGACCTTTAAATTGATACCAATTATATTGTCGTAGGTACTCGGATGCGGGAGTTACACTTAAATATTTACAGGTGCTTACGTATTCATATATTATTTAGTAACCTATTACCACACTGGAGGGCGGAAATATAGCGCTGATCGCCTTGAAAAGTTCCATGACGTCCCAGTTATGGTCAAGGACAACGCCTAAAATGTTAGGTGATGATCAGGTAATAATTTTTCGGATGAAGTGGGCCGAAAACTTAGCTAATTACGGACAATTAATTAGAGGGGCTGTACTGTATTAGTAACATTTGCTGACTTCTAGCCAGTCAAAAGTGTGCAAATATCGCGAAATTGCCTAATCTCAGAATATAGAACCACAGAAAGCTAAATTTCCATGGAAGTTCTGTAGGGTATCGTATGGACGGCCCCGTCCGACTATACTGCTCCGCTCACTGGTTCTAGATTTAGGTGTATAGAAAACATAGCTTAGCTCATACAATATACAATTTTATTAAAGAAGGAGTAGTTATTTCGGATGAGTATTTATGCGAACACTTTCACAAGAAAATTTGTGAATAATTTTGGATTTATTTGTTAAATTTGTTAAATATTAAATAAATACATTAATTTTTATACTCTGTGTTTTATCAAATTTTACATTTTTGTTAATTTCCTATGTTTTTGCTGCATTATTTCAGGTGCCCACGTATTACAACCACCAATTCTGAGCAATACTACAAATCAAAATATGACTGGACCATCATATTTAAGTGGTACTATCATGGTACCAGGACACCATCACTCACACACCGGAACCTTGCGCAGAGGCATGATACCAACTAGTATGGGCATGATGGGAGCGCCATCACCACCACTTGTTGGAAACAATCAAATGCCACCATCCATAGTGGGTGTACCGACCTCCTCCAGTGTTTATTATGATACCACTATTCCACGACATTTAAGTCGAGGAATGTCAGCCGATAACAATACCCAGTACTTTTATGGATGACATTCATTGAATCGCAAAGCATCTCTACCCATTGCAATTGCCGTTCGCCCATCGCAAATGAACATAAATATGATGCCCCTAACAGCCACCATGGCTGGTTCGCCATCTACAATACCTTGTCCGGGAAGAACTGCTCCACCAGCGAACGCTGCCACACCATCATCCCTTAAAGGAACAGCCATACCCGAAATTCCCTCGATCACAGTAACATCCTCAACATCAGCGACAAAGTCACAATTCAACCCCCTTACAGGTTCACCCGTACAACAGTCGGTGTCCTCTGATAGTCAACACACGGCATCAGCATCAACATCCGACACCCACAAAACTGCCCCGAATACAGATCGAAGCAATTGTTTCTAGACTGGAACAATCAACTCCCTTAGATAGCAATAGAAATGGGTTCTCCTGCAAAAGTATATCCCCCTAACTGTACATAATCTTTTCAAGAGGATGCTTTTGCGGGTCAGCCACGAAACAAAAAACAAAAGCAGTCGAAACGCAGCAATGTGAGACTTGTACGCAAACAAAGTTAGTGACTTTATACATATATAGGAATTAATGGTTTTACAAAGACATCAAACTTCCACAACAACAGAAAACAAAACAAGAGACCCAACCCATTACAAATCTAATTATACGAGTAGTTTTTACTATTACTATTAATTATATTGACAGCTATTACATTTATTATGAAAATTATTAGATTAGATCGTATTGTCAGGTTTTCCAGGCCATTTGTATCATAGAAAGTAGTAAGTAGGTATCCATCCATCCCGATGTTAGGATAAACCGGATAAATCACAATTGTAGATATTTCATTGAGACAGAAAGCCTCACCTACTGATTATTGCACTGGAATAAAGACTTTATCTCTGTTCCATTTTCCCTCATAATTAATATTGATGCCCATTACCATACTCTGTTATGCGAGTATCATCCACAATCATCCGCCTCACGTTTACCTCAGGAGCTGATAATAGAAAAATAAATACATTGTTATTTACTTTTCCATTCTCATTTCAGAATTCACAAATATTTTGCATGATAATTTTAAGTACACACTCATATACATACATACATATATTATATTTTATTTTTGCCTTTGCGTATGAAATGCGATAAAATTGTATTTAATTAATGACATGAACCCCTACAGAGGCTCTAGAATAATTAAGTCAAGTTAAAATTTATTCATAAGATTCTAGCCAAAATGGAAATGATGTGCGATATATGTAAGTTCACAAACAATGCTACTGGTCACACACACACACACTTGTACGCACACACCCACTTGCTCCTCCACCTATGCTATATGCACTGAAGCAAGGCTAGTGTGGGCTTACTTGCGTGCGTACGTGTGTGTATCCATGGTATTCAGGCCAAATGGTAGAAAGTAATTGCCAAAAATTATTATTAATATACATTTAGCCAAATAAATATTTGTTAATAATAGTAATAAAAAAAGCTATAACTAAGTTACCCACATTCACGAAACTTTCATTTCCGGCAGTTGTAAAGTTTGTTAAGTCCACATAAGCAATTTCAAATCTATGTGTCATATACATACATACATACATACATAATAAATAGTACGCAACACAACTATACATGCAGCTAATGCTTTCCAGGACGATACAGGAATGCATAGTGTCGTGCGAAAGGTCAACTTGGAATCAAATATCATTATATTTAAGGGGAATTCATTACAGTGGTGTACATAAAAACACTAAATTTAAAATATATATAAACAACTCAAGAACGGCTGTATCGATTTTGGCGATTCGTGCTAGGGTAATATTTTAAAAAATCGTTAAATTTCGCTAAAATTAAAAAAATAAAAAATGAAGTTTATTTGCTTTTCCACGAATTCGAGCTTTTGTTAATGCATCACTTCGTATTTGTTTTTTACATATTTTGAGCCGAAAATTATTAGCGTATCAAAATATTTGATTTTTTAATTGGATTGACATTGCATTATGGGCCAGATATCGCAATTTTGGTCATAATTAGAGTAGTGGGTCTATAAAACAAATATCACATATAAGATTTTCGGGGTCGTGATTAATAAAATTTAATAAAATCGTAATCAGATTAAATTTTATTAATCACGTTTTTGTTAAACACGTTTTGTCTATTTATGCATGTCCGTCTGTCCGTCCGTCCATGTATTTTTGTTAACAAAGTACAGGTCGCATTTGTGATCCGATTTGGATGAAATTTGGCACAGTTCACTTATTTGGCCCAAGGAAGAACCGTATTAAAATTGGGAAAAATCGGTTCAGATTTAGATATAGCTCCCATATATATTTTCGTCCGATTTTAGGTAAATAGTGCACCAAAGTCCCTATATATCCTTCGAATTGCACGAAATTGGGCATAGCGTACTGAATTAAGTCTAGAAAGATGTGTGTAAAATTTCATGAAAATCGGTTCTGATTTAGATATAGCTCCCATATATATTTTCGACCGATTTTAGGTAAATAGTGCACCAAAGTCCCTACATATCCTTCGATTTGCACGAAATTTGGCACAGCGTACTGAATTAAGTCTAGAAAGATGTGTTTTAAATTTCGTGAAAATCCATTCAGATTTAGATATAGCTCCCATATATATTTTGGTCCGATTTTATGCGACGTTTGTTTGGATTCCATCTGTTGGATATACCCAAAGTGGTGAAGGGTATCATATAGTCGGCCCCGTCCGACTTTACTATTTTCCTTACTGGATTTTAAGTTAATGTGTTTACTACAGGTTAAATTTTATAATCAGATTGCTAAGGCTCTGCAGAACTTAACGCCCAACAGCGATATGTTCTACGAAGCCTCAACAAGCTTATTAAAAACCAGTAAGGAAAGGTCAAAAGTCGGACGGGCCGACTCTATTATACCCTTCACCACTTTTGATACATACAAGATATACTAATATATACAATATCCTGTAGATAGAATAGACATATAATCTTTAGAAGCCATTGCAATGGAATGGGGCGAAACTAAATGTGTGATCGAAATAGATATTAAAAAACCCATGCACATACCATTCGGAAATCTATGAAAAATTGTATGTCAATCGGATTCTTTTGTGTACCATTTGTATGAGTCCGAGCAAAATAATGTATGTGGAGCTATATGTAAATCTGTATGCTGCAGCACAGAGCGCTGAGAGTTTGGGAGTTTGGTGCACTAATAAGTGAAATCAGAGAAATATATACATGGGAGCTATATCTAAGTCTCATCCGATTTCCACAAAACGTGACGAACTTCAACCTGTAGTAATTTCAGTACGTTGTGTAAAATTTTGTCTCAATCGGGAAAATATTGGGAGATTGGTGACCCATTTACTTAAAAACGGACTAAAATATATGTGGGAACTATGTCTAAATCTGAACCGATTCCAAACAAAACTTCGAATACATCAATAAGGATCTAATTCAGTATTCTGTGCAAAATTGTTTCTCAGTCTGACCAATATTGGGAGTTTGGTGCACCAATAAGGTAAAATCGGACCAAAATATATATGGGAGCTTTACCTAAATCTCAACCGATGTCAACAGAACTTCACGAATTTCAAAGTAATTTCAGTACGTTTTATCTCAATCGGACAAATACTGGGAGTTTGGTTCATCAATAAGGTAAAATTGGGCGAAAATATAAAGGGATACATATCTAAATCTGAACCGATTTTCTCCAATCCAATAGGGCCAAAAAAGTGACCCGTGCCAAATTTCATCCAAATCGGATCATAAATGCGACCTGTACTTTGCTCACAAAAATACATGGACGGACGGACAGACGGACATGCATAAGTCGACTCAGAAAGTGATTCTATGCATGTTCTCAAAATCAAGATAGATACATGGGTCTATCTCCATTCCTTTTGCCTGTTACAAATATATGCACAAAGATATAATACAATGTACCACAGAGTGGTGAAGGGTATAAAAATTAACAGCAGTAAACACAGATTTATTGACATAACAGTCGTTCTATTTTTAGTGTACTAAATGTGAGTTAATTAGATTAAAAATTCCCCAATATACCGAAAAAATAGATGTCAGATAATATTGGGCCTACGCCCGAAATTTAAGACAATGTTAACAAAATACTAAATTACAGGCAATTTGCTTTAAAAACGCACACAAAACTCCAAAAATACCGAAATTTGGGGAGTATTGTTATATGGGGGGTTTGTAGTAGCCCCCATATAAAATTACTCCCAAAAATTTAGACCAAAATTAACCATTTTTTTGTAGGAAGATTTGCAAAAGATAAACCTCCATCAAAAACCATTTATTATAACAGATTTCACGATGTTACAAAATCGTTTTAAATATGTGGATATAAAATTACAAATACCTCTACAAATCAACTCAGGATATGTGAAATGAAAACATCTAATAAAAATTAAAAAAATCCATTTTTTTTCGACAGAAGGCTGTACCGATAGATTTCTCGTAAAGTATCGATCAAACAATTTATGCTCGTTGAAAGAGTGAAATTTCGCAGTAAAAAAATATTTTATTGTTTTTTTGTTTGGTGCATTCAGTTGTGAGTTACAGGGTTTTAAAAATGGAGGTGCATTCATTGTGAGTTACAGGGTTTTAAAAATGGAGGTGATGGAAGATGCACTTCGCACAAGTAGGCGATGTCGATAAAATCGGAGAAATGATCGAAGTTGAACGGCATGTTAGCAGTCGTACCATCGCCCAGGAGCTAAAAATCGACCAAAAACTTGTTTAGAATCTTCGGGAGTTTGGTTGGGAAGATTTAATGCATCCACCATACAGCCCGGATTTGGCGCGAAGTGATTATCATCTTTTTCTTGCATTGCAAAATTCGTTTAATGATACAAAATTGATATCTAGGGAGGGTTGTGAAAATCGACAACTAGCATTTTTTTGCAAATAAAGAGCAGGACTTCTAGGATAGAGGCATTACGAAGTTACCTTTAAAATGGTAACAATTCATACCACGAAACGGTGCATATTGGGCCCAAATATTATTTCAAATCTTTGAAGCTAATATAAATGTTAAGCTTTTTTGAAACATTTGGAAATTCCCTCCAATTACCCAATTTGCTATGATA